AATCGCTGGGAAGGTGATGGCTCGAATACTCCTCAATCGTCTGAACGAAATGATAAGTCCCAGAGTAATTCCTGAGACCCAGAGTGGATTTCGGAGTGGGCGGAGTACCATGGATATGATATTCAGCCTACGACAGGTTCAGGGAGAAATGCACTGAACAGAACATGCCCCTCTATGCAGTTTTCATAGACTTTACTAAGGCCTTTGACACTGTCCCTAGAGGCGGCTTGTGGGCAGTACTGAAAAGTTTGGCTGTACTGATAAGATTATCAATCTCGTGAAAGCGTTTCACGAAGGAATGCAAGCTAAAGTCACTCGTGGGAGCGACTGCTCTGAGGGATTCGCTGTCTCAACAGGTGTAAAGCAAGGGTGTGTGCTGGCTCCGACACTGTTCTCATTCTACCTGGCTGCCATGCTGGAGGTTGCCTTCGAGGACACAAGGGAAGGTATCTACATCCAGACTAGACATGATGGGAACCTATTCAACGCCTCACACTTCAAAGCTAAGACACGCACAACACGTCAGCTTGTCAGAGATATGCTTTTTGCAGACGACTGTGCTCTGGTTGCTCACAGTGCAGCAGAGATGCAGGCATTGGTGGACAAATTTGCACAAGCTGCCGCTATGTTTAGCCTCAAGATAAACATCAAAAAGACTGAGTGCCTCTACCAGCCAGTAAAGCTTCTACTCCCTCCCCCAAAACCCTGTGCAATCACCATTGACGGACAGCCTCTTGTCCAGACCACAGACTTCAACTACCTGGGTAGTACAATCTCCAGCAATGCTAAGATTGAAAGGAGCTGAGGAACAGAATGGGAAGGGCGAGTGCAGCGTTCAGTCAACTAAACGATCGGCTATGGCAAAATAAGCATGTCTCGACCAGAGTTAAAGCCAAGGTCTATCAGGCGGTGGTGCTGACAACACTCCTTTATGGAGCAGAGGCATGGACAATCTACAGGCTTCAAGTGAAGAAACTGAGTGCGTATATGATGAGACAACTGCGGGACATTCTGAAGATATCATGGCGGGACAAGATCGCAAATGCTAAGATTCTCCGTCTGACTGACCTGCCACACATGGCTGACATGCTGATTCAAAAGAATTTAAGATGGATTGGTCATGTCCATCGTATGGAGAGATCTCGTTTACCACGCCAGCTATTGTACAGCCAACTAGTAGAAGGGAAACGAAACCAAGGCCGACCTCGACTCAGACTCAAAGATGTCATGAAACGAAATCTAAAGAGGAGAGACATCAACGTGACAACCTGGAAGCAATTGGCTGATAACAGACCGGCCTGGAGAGCTTCAATCCAACCATAGAGCAGTCCTCGTCGCTTACGACTGACTGCATGATGATGATGACACGAGCTGAGACCGGTTTGACTTTATTCCGATCTCATGTAAACAGAGCCTAAGTCTCTCGAGCTGTTGTGTAAGGGTAAAGCACGCGATTAGAAATTAACGCAGAATATGGAATGTAGATGATGTTTTTGTCCTCGCGCATGTTGTGCCACACATATCGGCAGCATTATTCCAGTAAGATATTTAGGGGTTTTTACTTGTTCTCAACCACTGAAATAACACGACGTCATTTCTTGTATTGAAATATTTTCGAGTTCATTGTGAAGAAATGACGTCATGTGATTGCAGTGAAAATGAAAAACCTAAAGTATTATGCTGGAATGATGGCGTGAGGACACGGTACCACTAGTAGCCCTTCTGTATAATTTTTATTCTGTGTGTTTAGTTCGTAATAACATGATTGCTGAGGTTTAATAACTGCATTGAACTCTTCCGTTTTTGCAAATGCCAATATCTTGATCAAACAAGTTTAGTGATTTGAATATAGACAACAAATTGATAACGTTCAAAGCGTATATAAATTGTTCATGGTCAGCGAGAGAGAAAAGAAATGAATGAAGCTACCTAAGTTAGTGATAAGGAGTTGCCGATGCGAGGGAAAGACAATTTCTTTTACAACTTAAAGACATATATTGTGGAGAAAAAATGAGATAAATCTTTTAATAAGGAGTTCCGCAGTTTTGAACAAAAAGGCGAAATAATATACTTCTCTCTCTAATATTGATCGTAATAGTCGAACAATTAAGAGAACATTTGGCATGGTAAACTTGCGGCTCTTAAATTAGTGCGGTCTCAATCGACTTTAAAGCGGAAAGTATCCTGTAATTAATCTTTTCCATTCACCAGAGTTTAATATTTTTAGCTGTGGAAAGTTTGCCAGCTTGCGTTTAGAGTTCATTATCATGGCATCAGAATAATCTGAATTGAAAAAAAAATTTCAAATTTTCCTAAGTCAATAATGATTTCACCGGAAATCCCGATACGGCAGTTTGAGAAAATACAATTTTTTCAGGCGATTGAGAAAAAAAAATCAAAAAAATATTAGCCTTTGTAAAGAGAAAAAAGATGGCTTTCGTTGGTCTATTTACAAAACGTTTTTCTAAATAGTCAGTTATTGCTTTGCATGCAATGAAAACTTCCAAATGATCTCGTTTGGTATATTGGTCGGCCATTGCCAGATCGTCTAAATAGTCAATTAAAGTTGCAATAAAATTGCTATTTATTAAATACTTCCTAATGATCATCGGTGTCGGGTTTAAGAACCTTTTAAAAGGCATTTACTGCTTCAACGTCAAATGTCGATTGTTTTGCTTATTCTTTTTCACCATTTTTTTGTTTTCTTCATCCGCCATCTAGGACGATAACACAAGAAAAGAATACAAAACAGAAACAAAATGTAGCTGCACAGAAAATCACAATCTTTATCATTTTCCATTAGATCTGTGTGAAGGACCTGGAGAGAATAGAAAATCAATGTGAAAAAGTTTTTCAACTAAATACTTTGATTGAAATGTAAAAACTCAAGTTTTTATATTCATACGAATATTTGCTTTCTTCTTATAAACTTATTCAGCCTATTTTATTTAAGGAGCGACTAAATTGCCAGCATTTGACTACGCTAGAAAAAGAATATTTTCATTATCGACCTGCATGTTATTGCTATATCGCACAATCATCCAATCAAAACAAGGTAACCATTGATTATTCCTTTTATAGTGAAGTATGTTTTAGTCATCATATCACTTCGTCATTAATACTGCAGCGTATACTAAGTATAACAACTATTTCTCCTATCTAAAATTACCAGATAAATAAATAAAGCACATAGTTGTTGAGTGCTTTAGAACAATCGAAGAAAGTCATGAACAACTGTAGGACTTTCTCCACTTTCATGTAATCGCTGTAAAAGTGCAAATACAAAATGAATGTTTATTCACGCAAACTTGCCGAAAACTGGACTTGTTCATCAACTGATGCAAATTGTAATATACGTATATATTTACCGAACATCTTCTTCTGAACTCTTAAGCTTCACATATGGGTCAGAAGAATTAAAGAAAATACGATGTTTCTATCGATATAATTGTTTAACAATAATAATAAAACAATGTGATGCATGAATGAGAAATGAATGATAACGGTAGTCGCATGCCTAATGTTCATATTATGTTCCGCTACATAAGTGCGCATAGGAAATTAACGTTAATTTATGCAACCTTGGAGCAAGTTGTGGCTACTTCGTGTATCAACTGCATCAGATGCCACAAGAAATACTACGGTTTTCAATAGACCACGGATTCGTGTTATTTACACAATTGTATCTCTGACAAAGACAATCAAAACTCAAGTATTATCTACAATATAAGTGTGTGAAAAACTGATAAATATAAATCAATAAGTCTAAATATAAGTCTATACAATCCCATTGGCAATTACAAATCATTTATAGGCTGCTGCAGAGTATTTTCGTCGTAAAACGAACCGCTTAGCCTTTAATATAATTACTTCTCACAATGAATTTCAGTTTAGCATTTTTCCAAACGCCATAGTTTGATGCTAAGCATTGTTGAAGCACATTTTATTTTCCAGGCTTAGGAACATTTTTTCTGGGAAACTTTGCACTATCCTTGGATCCCTAGTTATCTTTTGAGATTAACCTCTATTCTATTGACGCACTTTCTCTTCATTGATTATTAGCGTATTTGTTATAAAGTGTTTTTATCATACAATTTGACAACGGTTTCTATTACAAAGCCCTTTGTTAAAAAATTGGCATGCCATTGTTTCAACAAACATCTTTGCCATAGAAAATTAAATTGATCAAACAATTTCCAAAACAGTTTCTTATAAGAAAATTTTAACATAAATTAATTAAGAATGCATTTTAAACTCTTCACCTTACCGAAAATTTTTTGAAGCTTTCAGAATCAGTTACGCCGATTCGCGCACAAGGTTAGTTTGTGAATGCCTACGATTTTGAGTAGACCACGGCCGTACCCAAAATCCTCTTTATTTTCTTTGCTTATTTTCACATTTGTGTAGCAAAAGAAAAGTCGCGATAAAACACGAAAGTATACATTTGCGTTTTGAAAATCAATTCCCATATTTTTGCTATTATTGCATCAATTGCAAAACAAGCAAACAATGGCGTCGCCAGCTCCATAAGCGAAGGGGATTTTATTCATTCATTTATGTTTTTCTTTATTAAGTTCTTTTAAAGTCAATTGTTTCTTAGTGATTAAAACATGAACATATGAATATCGTCCCCCTCACTTATCTATCTGGTGACGCCATTGCAACCAATGAACAAAATATCCCATTGACACGAGAAAATAATCTTTGTCAAAGAAAACTTTGGCAAATAGACATTTTACTCATTTACATGGATATAGTCCTGCAGCATATAATTTTGCCAGAGAAACTTTGCTCGTGTAAATTACGCTTTACGCTGTCAGTCAGGTGAGTTTTCAACGAGTTTTTTACGAGGAAGACGAAAGCAAACCTTTATGATTATTTAATGTCGTAGCACAAAAAACGTTTTGGCTTCCATACAAAAATAGTTTTAAGACTTGTATATTTATAATTGGGCAATAAAACAAACATTGACGTCGGTATGAATAATGCACAGTCTCATTCAATAATTGTCAAATATTTCTCGCCTTTATTTTTGAATTTCTGACAGAAGAATTTCGATATTCATCAACACGTTTACCATTTGTTACATTATCATTCTTCAGCAATGGTTGATAACCGTCATTTTCTGTATCATTTTCACTTCCTGGAAGTTTTATCAAACATTTATATTGCTCACCTTTCTCTTCATTAATCATCAAATCACTGACAAAAGAATTTTGGTATTGATGAACACTCTCACCATTTGTTACATTACAATTCTTTAGCAGTGGTTGTAATCATTATTTTCTAAGTCATTTCTACAGCCTGGAAGTAATATCAAAGATGTATACTGTTCACCATTATCTTCATTAATCATTGAACCACGGACAGAAGAATTTTCGCATTGATCAACACTCTGGTTCTGCGGAGACTTGTCAAAGGTTACAATAATAGGTTCCTCATACCCGGGAGGACGAGGTTCAAAGCTGATTTTCACAACATTGGAATGATTTTCAGGTTCCCATCTCGGTTCTTCATACACGTGATTCTGACTTTGTTGTGATTGAGACTGGAGCATAAATTCGTTGCCAGATACGTTTGTTGGATCATTTAAGTTGGTTTCAGAGTTGTGATCTATGACAAGAGATGGAAAAGTGCCGTTTCATTTCAATGACATTTAAATTTACATGAATACTATTTTAATATGTGGTACAATTTGTGACTTCTATAAACATAACATTTTCATAAAGCTTTATGACATCAAAAGTAACAGTTACTATGTTGTATTTTTCAGTAACGTTTTCAACACAAAATTTAAAGGACAAAGTAAAGTCTTTCGATTTTTCGTTCAACCAAAAGATTGTGTGTATGTATATAACTTGATATTATATATATTATGCATAAATAATATCGATGTTATTTGAATAACTGATGATCCTTTTGTTGAAAAATAATTATGAATTTATTGTATAAGGAAGTTACTGTACCTTGACTTAAGATGCGATCGCGTTGGTATATGCGATCTCATTGCCAGATCTCGTCTAAATAGTCAATTAAAGTTGCAGTAAAATTGCTATGCATTGAAAACTTCCTAATGATCATCGGTGTCGAGTTTTATGCACCGTTTAAAAGGCATTTACTGCTTCAACGACAAATGTCGATTGTTTTTGCTTATTTTTACTCACCATTTTTTTGTTTTTCTTCATCCGCCATCTAAGGTGATAACACAACAAGAGAATACAAAACAGAAACAAAATTGCCGCTATTGCATAGGGAATAACAGTCTTTATAAGTTTTCCGATAAATTTGCGTGAAGAACCTGGAAGAATAGAATATCCATGTGAGCTCATGATACTAATATAGATTGGACAAGCAGATATATTTCATTGGTTGATATGTGTTTTGGACTGGGAACACAATCTGATTGGTTAAAACTGTACATGTATCCTGGATTGCAGTCTACAAAAACACATGGATATTTTAAAATTGCAAATTCATGAATCATTATATGGCTGGTGTACATATACAAGGTGTAGTTGGCAAAGCATTTATGACCTTTGATATAGTCAAGATGGCTGATTGTCCCATTTTCAACTGTAAATGTACCATTGCGACAGGCAATGCATTTAATTTGACCAAAGTTAGGTTGATAAAAATTCACTGGAAAATATTCACATTGGTTGGTTTGAAGCGAGTAGAATGAACCAGCAGAACAATCTATAAAAGATTTTAAATACAAGCGACACATTAAAATGAGAAAGGAGCGCTTACGATAATAAATATTAGATTAGAAATGAATATACTTTTAGCAAAATATTTAATAACAAGTAACAGGTGAAGTAGTGAATTAAAGTATAATGACTACTTATCATCAAGAAAATAATTAACTAACTTCATTGTCATTATTTAACCTACCTTCAATGCATTGTGTCTTGTCAATAGCGCCAGTTTCTATGGTGATTTTGTTTATTCCACACTTAAAACATTTTGTTTTTCCAGTCTGTGGTTGGTAACTATTTCTTTTACATTTCGTACAATTTAAAGACGTTTTGTTAAAATAGGAACCTGCATTACAATCTAAAGTCAAAAAGGGTTTCATTAAACCGAATTATTTTGATGTGTTTCAAAAACGTCAACTTACTTTGAATACAATCTGATTGGAAAACTGTTCCTTCCTTCTCTGTAATTGGTAGATTTATTGGACACACGTCACATGTGATCTGTCCTTTGTTCTCTTGTGTCGAATTTCGTGGACATTTTGTACAAACCACTTAAGATAAATTAAAGTAATATCCTGGACGACATTCTAAAAACAAAGTAAATTAATTATTGACGATATCAACATTAGATCCATGAAATACTGAAGTAAACATACCTTATTTACAGTGGGATATATTGACGTGAGAATCATCTGTGTACGTCATTGTTGTTGTAAATTACACTCAACATTCTTAACTACGTTGTTATGAAGTATTTACTATGTTGAAGGTTATATCGTGGGCGCATGTGTATGTTCGCACGACGTTCGTTGTGTGTTTTTCTTTTATCGTAATAAAAACTTACTTTTATGTTCAAAGTGTTTTCTCTGCTGAAATATATCGTAATACGAACAGGTTATGGGCCAGGTACCCTTGGAAATACTGTTTATTAAAGTAAGAAGTGTTTAGTGGATTAAAAACAGTTGAAATGGCGCAAGACGACAAGTTATTTATCGATAAACTTATCGGTGCAAAGAATTGGCAAGTGTGGAAATACCAAATGCAAGCTATACTTGAATCGAGGGAATTGTGGAGACACGTCGATGGATCGGTGACTAACCCAGACGCTTCTGACAGCAGTTCAGGGGCAAGAATAGCCTTCTTAAAGGCACAAAAGAAAACAAAAGCCCTCCTTGTAACGAGTATCAACTCGGATCTGGTATATCTGATAACCGAATGCCAAACACCAAAGGAAATCTGGGATAAATTGAAGGAACGCTTTGAAAGAAACACTGTGGCAAACAAATTGCTTTTAAAGCAGAAATTCTTTTCTATGAAAATGGAAGATTCTGATTCTTTGGTTGAACATCTACGTCACATGAAGGAAATCACTGACCAACTTGCAGCAATCAAGGCATCAATCCCTGAGGATGAGCATATTGTAGCCCTTTTACTCAGCCTTCCACGATCATACAACACTCTAATAGCTGCATTGACTGCAAAGGGAGATGAGCTTAGCCTAGATCAAGTGCATCAAGCACTCTTGAGTGAAGAAGAAAAGCGTAGCTTATACAAGAGCAAGGATGATTGTGGCAAAATCGATAAAGGTGAGATGGCTTTGCAGCATGATAAAAACAATCGATGGCCCATCAAATGCGATGGATGTGGGGAAGAAAACCATGTGATCAAAAAATTGTCCCAAAAGAAGGAAAGGGGAGAATAAGTATAGAAACAAGCAGGGAAATTTATCAAAGCATAAAGCAGCTTCGGTGGATAGTGATGGAAACAAAACTGAAAATTCTGGAGGTAATGTGTTTGTCATAGGAATGACGGCAACAGAAGGAAACAATTGTTGGATAATTGATTCAGGAGCCTCGCAACATATGACAGCTATTCGCGATGTTTTGGTAAATTACTGCGAGTTCCCAAAGCCAGAACTTGTTACACTTGGAGACGGTCGTTATGTAAATGCTTATGGGTATGGACAAGTTGACATCACCATGATATATGGACGTAAAGAGAAAGATCAACAGAAATCAATTTTGACAAAGGTACTGTACGTCCCAAAGATAGATATAAATCTTTTTAGCGCACGTGCAGCAGCATCTAAAGGCAAAGTGGTTCAATTTGGACACAGTCTCTGTTGGATAAAGAACTCCAATGGACAAGCTGTAGCACGCGGTCGACTAGTTGGGAACATGTATCAACTTGATTGTAAAGTTGACAAACCGGAAAACCAAGCATCAGTTGCTAATGAAAGTGGCACTAAACTTGATCTATGGCACCAAAGAATGGCACATTTAAATGTCGGTCAAATGAAAACTATGGCTTCAAAGCAACTTATCACCTGTATGGACATACCTAAATCTTGCAATTCAAGCTTTTGTGAGGCATGTGCAGAAGGAAAGGCACATCGCACACCATTTAAGCCAGGGGGAGACATTCAATCAACCAAAAGATTGGAGTTGGTTCATAGTGATGTTGCCGGACCTACGAAAGCTGAAAGCCTTGGAGGTGCAAGATATTTTGTCACTTTCATTGATGATGACTCCAGATGTGTTACGGTATATCCAATGAAGCACAAGTCAGAAGTGCTTGGAAAATTCAAGGAGTGGGAGGAAGCAGTCACAAACCAATCAGAGTGTAGGATAAAAACACTACGCACGGACAATGGGGGTGAATATACATCCACTGAGTTTGGAGATTTTTTAAAGGAGAGAGGAATTCGTCATGAGACAACAGTGCCACATTCACCCCAGCAGAACGGGATAGCTGAGCGCATGGATCGGACAATCCAAGAAGCAGCTCTTTCTATGATTTTGCATGCTGGACTGTCCAAAGCTTTTTGGGCTGAAGCAGTATGCAATGCAGCCTACATAAGAAATCGAGTCATTACGACTGCTACTGCGGTAACTCCGTATGAAAGATGGTATGGAAAGAAGCCAAATGTGTCCCATTTTCGTGTCTTCGGCTGTACTGCTTATGCTCATGTTCCTGATGCGGTGCGCCAGAAATTCGACCAGAAGGCAGTCAAGATGAGATTTGTTGGTTACAGCCTTACACAGAAAGGATACAGGCTGTATAATGAGAATCGAGAAAAAGTCTTTATTCGGAGGGACGTTACATTTAATGAAACAGATTTTGGATCAACAAAAGCTCAAATGAAGTGTGGTGAAGATATTACCGAGTGTGCTGAAAAAGAAACAGAAATAAAGGGGAAAGTTCGTGCAACCATTAATGAAGAAGAAGATCCCCCAAATGAGCCACGATGCTCAGGAAGAGAGAGAAATCCACCAATATATTATCACGACGAGTATGCTGGGATTACTACATCGAGGTATGCAGCACTTTACGTATCTGAGATCACAGAACCAGAAACCCTAAAAGATGCTCCTAATAGTGAATATGCAACGGAATCGAAAGCTGCTGCAGATGCAGAATACCAGTCTTTACTAGAGAATGAGACCTGGGAATTAGTCGAATTACCAGCTGGATGCAAGCCTAACAGTTGCAAATGGGTCTTTAAAGTTAAATACGATGAGACAGGAAAGGTAGAGATATTTAAAGGTCGTCTGCTGGCTAAGGGTTTTCTGCAAAAATATCGAATTGACTATGAAGAGACATTCTCTCCAGTGGTTCGTTTTTCGTCAATTCGCACTCTTCTAGCTTTTGGTGTATCTCGAGGTATGTTGATCCATCAAATTGATGTAGTAACGGCATTCCTCAATGGAACATTGGAAGAGGAAATATACATGCAACAACCCGAAGGCTACGTAAAACCAGGAAAAGAAAAGCTTATGTGTCGTCTCAAAAAATCGCTTTATGGTCTAAAGCAAAGTCCACGTTGCTGGAATAAGGTTTTCAGAGAGTTTATGTTATCATTAGGATTTGTTCAGAGTGAAGGAGACCCTTGCGTATTTATTCGTTTTCTCAAAGATAAGCAGGCGATTATCACTGTTCACCTTGATGACCTCATAATTCTGACTGAAACTGAAGAAGAGATAAATGATCTAAAGGCCAATTTGGCAAACCAATTCAAGATGAAAGATATGGGCGTACTCCACTACTGCCTAGGAGTTAGTATTACTATAAAGAACGGTGTGTTACAAATTAATCAAGAGCAATACATCAACAAGATTCTGAAGAAGTATAAATTATAATACTGCAAGACAGTGTCTACGCCAATGGATGTAAGCGTCAAACTTGTTAAAGAAGATGGATACAGCAAATCAGTCGATGCCTCTCACTATCAGTCAATGGTAGGAAGTTTGATATACGCGGCAATTGCTACCCGTCCAGATATAGCTCAAGCAGTAACAACATTAGCCAAATTCAACACAGCACCGAACGAAGCACATCTTACAGCTGTGAAACGCATCTTTCGTTACTTGAAAGGAACTTGTAAACTAAGCCTGCAGTACCAAAAAACCAGTATCGATTTAGAGGGATACTCTGATGCAGACTGGGCCTCTGACACAGACGATTGACGGTAAACTTCAGGAAATGTGTCTATGTCAGGTGGTGCAATCAGTTGGGCAAGCAAGAAACAACCAACAGTGGCTCTTTCAACGTCGTAATCGGAGGAGTACATTGCGTTATGTTATGCAACCCAAGAATTAGTATGGCTGCGACAACTGAAGAAAGACCTAGAAATAGATTGTACTGCGGCTACAACCATACATGAAGATAATCAAGGTACAATCGTTATCTCAAAGAATCCAGTGCTACACAAGCGGACAAAGCACATTGATATTAAGCACCATTTCGTGCGCGAGAAGTACTGTCAACCAAGGAAATGGTGGCAGATATTTTTACGAAACCATTACCAAGAGAACAATTTGAATATCTGCGATGCAAACTGGGACTTGTATAAACATTATGACATATTGAGTGAGTGGGAGTGTTGTAAATTACACTCAACATTCTTAACTACGTTGTTATGAAGTATTAACTATGTTTAAGGTTATATCGTGGGCGCATGTGTACGTTCGCACGACGTTCGTTGTGTTTTTCTTTTATCGTAATAAAAACTTACTTTTATGTTCAAAGTGTTTTCTCTACTGAAATATATCGTAATACGAACAATAATATCATCTGCGTATCTACTGAAAATGTGGATACACAGTCAATGAATACGAGTGAACGAGTATTCTGCCATTTAGTCAAACCTTTGATACAATATAACGAGTAGCTAAACAATACGGCTTTAAAATCAATGTTTTACACAATTTTACTCACCAAACATGACCCAAAACGACTATTTCTTCATTTCCACACTTATTATTTTGTTTCACAACGTAGAGTCAAGGTCTTATGTTGAAATATTTCTTCAATTTTTTCTTTAATCGTATTGTAATGTACACATCATTGAAATGTAAGGGATGGGCTCATCATGAGATCATTCTCATTTACTTCCTTGTTACTGGATACAGCTGAAATGTGGACAATAATCATGTTCATTGTTCATATATAGTTCTCACCAGATTTATGTTTTTGACATAGACTTTTAAAATAATTACCAATATGATTCCGAAAAATTATTAGGATAGAAAATAGGCCAAAATTTATCCAAATATTGATACAAATCGCCATTTTTCGTCAAAGTTTGAGTTTCCAAACCAAAGATCAGCAGCTATAGTCAGACAATAGTTGTTACTACTTGAGTCAGTCATTTTCAAACGAATAAAAGGATCATGAAAAAAATACATAAATTATGCTGAATTCTTTGTTACTATAACCGTTTTGTGCTCATAAAAATTGGAAAAACTGAAAAACAGCAAAAGAAATGAGCAACAGACAGTTTTTCTTGCAACGTGACCTGCTTGTCGTAAATTTTATCAATTTATCAATAATAATATGGACGATGTAAAACTTATCAGTATAAAATAGTATACGAGAAGAAATTTTCATAAATAATAAAAACAAGTGAAGTATCTTTCTCTTGCTGTGAGCACGAACATTACTAAAGAAGTAAGAGCATGGTAAAATGGGAACTATTTACGTTAAATTACGCACATGCACTTGTCATGGGAAGCTTAAAGCATTGAGTTGCTGAGGAAGACCTTCTTTCCAATCGTGGCAAAGAGGAAACTTTGTAATTTTATATTGTTGAATGTTTAGTATATATAGACGCTGCAAACGCTGTTTCTGGTTGTTTCAATACGCATTTTTTATGGTCGCATTTTATCGACGCATTTGATTAATGCATGGTAACTGGATAAGCATTTTTTGATTTTAATACTCGTGGTAATGAACCAACGCTTGTCTTAAAAAGAATCGTGATTTAGTATCCCGCACAACAGAACGCTTAGGTTGTGCGACAATGGCACTATAAATCTATAATTACCTATCAATGTGGTAATGTATAATTGATGCATATCGTTCGTGGTTGATTTAAATATTAAAATATCGTCGTTTTGATAGGTAAACAGATTATTTGTGTTTATATGATGAAACGCAATTTGATAAACTAAGCATAAATATATATTATCGCATTGTCCAATAGATGTAGCGCTATTTCTCTTATAGCTTCGTTTCACGTTGATTTTTCTTTTCTCAGAAGTTAGAATCGTCTTATATACGCCATAATATGATCTGTGTATCTGTGTATCTACTGAAAATGTGGATACAATTTTGCCTTTCTTCGTATTGTAATGTACACATCATCCAAATGTTAGGGATGGGCTAATCACGAAATCATTCTGATTCACTTCCGCACTTGTAACTGGATACAGCTGAAAAGTAGACAATAATCATGTTCATTTTCCATAAATGGTTCTCACCAGATTTATATTTTTTGCAAAGACTTTACAAAATTTGAAGAGAATAAAAACCAAAAATTGTCCAAATGGAAATGGCGAAACTATTTTTCCGAAATTCCAGGGTCAAAGATCAAGAGATGTATTGATGTAATAGGTACTAAGCACCGATCGGCATAACAGACCTTCAATTTCTTATTGTCGTATTGTAAAGAATCTACAAAAATTTGACAAAACTTTTAGATTCAATACATTATTAACTTCGATAAGCTCCTTGAAAAATATGGGTATGTACCTTATACGGTTTTGATACATGGTTGGATACTCTTTTCTGTGATGATTTTTGTAAGTAATTTACAATAACTTCATAAAATAGAAAGTTTGATAAAGGCTTTAAAAATTAAATTAATGTCCTGTTTTTATAAAAGATCAAATTGTCTTCCTAGCATATTTTTTCTTATATTTATATAACAAATAGCTCTTTCCCTGGAAAGAGACATCGTTCCTGCAAGTTCAATATAGTACGAGAATATTTTTTGTGAACCTTATGTTATATCTGGTGTAGGTGACGTAATATTAAAAATAATAAAAGATTAGACAAAAAATGTAAAAAACATAGGGATACATATGTCGTTACCCTCGTTAAATTCCTCAAGGATATATCATTTCTCTCATTAAATACTTTAACAGTTTGACATTACTTTTATAAATATCTTTATAATTTGTAATTGAACGTTTACATCAGTATTTACATCGGTAAAGTAAGTACAAATAGTCTTGATAATTCTGTCAATTAAACGCCTCTCTGGTTCAATGGAGTCTGGTGTATCACCAACAATATGACCATACGCAATAGGTTTCTAAGAACAAAGAATATGAAATATAGAACTTTATATAAGATGAATGCATGACCTACATAGACATATGGAGGGATAAAGGATTTTGGTGAAAAGACACATAAGACATTGGAGGATTGGATATGAGTAAGTACTGTGTGATAGATAAGAATAGCAATGACAAATTTTTTGAAGTATGGATCCTCTAGCTTATTCTGAGAAAGGAATTAGAACTAACAAAATGTTCTGTTGGAACTTTATTTTGTGCTATCCAATTGTGATGGCTTAGAGACAATGTCCTAACACATCAAACAAAACAACTTACTTGTATACAGTCAAGTGCAATGGTAACAATCCTGGCACATTATGTTTGACAAACTTTTCATTGATTAAATTTATTCTAACAACTAAAGATGCCAAGTGTCTTTTCTGTATATTACATATTAGGAGCTTTAGCAAAGTACGACTACGACAACGAAATTACGAAGTTTGACCGTGAAAAGAGAATGGCACGAGGAAGTTTGTTGTCGTATGGCTGAAAATTTTGTTATAAACAACAGAACGAGCTTTTTAGCACGAAGTTTGCAGGCAGCTAACTCTATGCAATCATAACGATATCGGCGATGTTGCGCGAATAGGTTCCATTTGACTGAAACTCTTTCATTTTGAACTGCAGTATATTTGTACTATTTTATTATTGTTTGTTTACCGTTCACTTTGCGTACAGAAATACATGAAAGTTTGCAGGTCATATTTTTCATTTTAAATGTACATATGCTCAAAAAAGGTTCTAAATTAAAGCCTGGATGCTCGAAAATAGTACTGTAAACTAATTTCTTACAGAATGAAGAAATATACCTACTTTCTTTGTAAAAGACATCGTAGTCACGACTACGAATTTTACAAAAAAATCGCACTCAGATTGATGGCTACGTGTTGTTAATGTCGCTACAATGTTTCGCTCCAAAATAACGTAAATGAAACTCGTAGTCTTTGCTACAGCTCCTATTCTGTGCTTCAGCTAAGAACTTTGTTATGCAAATGGGAACTCTGGTATAACAACATTACAAAGCCATTTTGTCTCCAGTATTACCTGCAATGACCGTAATTACAACAGACCTTAATTGGCCATAGTATCTTCATCTTCTCAATTGCTGGTTGCAGGAAAAGACGACATTGTCGATCATTTGGATAAGTTCCAATTGAACGACACATAATGATCAATGAATTGAACAGCATCCTCTCCGTCTGCAGCTAAAAATAAAGAGATGATTTTACGACGTTAAAAGTACATACATGAAAAAATTAAAAAATGTCCCTCGGGTGTTGGTTGAACATTTCCGTATTCCAGCTCAGACGATTTTTTCATTCGACTTGAATATGCCAAACAAAGGGTTAATTTATCTTATGAGGTCTTCTAAAATAAAATAAAATAAGCAACGAATGCCAAAAATAAAACAAAATGAGTTTCTTAAGTTGGTGCTATTTTTATGAAAAATAAGTGTAACAGGAGAAGTAGTAATAATTACTAATTAGTAACATTATTAGTTCTATTAGTAACAATTAGCAAAATTATTAGTTCAAACAGTGATAATTAGTAACATTATTAGTTCTATTAGTAACAATTAACAACATTATTGTTTCAAACATTGCAAAAAATGTAAATTTTTAGAACATAAGCAGTTTCAGGAAATGTTATATGACGTCGCTACTCACTTCAGATTGAGTTTTTCAAATGCATATATCAATTATACGTTTTGCTACGCCTTTCCAATAAACCAAAGTAAATTAAACACGTAAATGGCAGCAGGCTGTGACAACAAATTATTAATCTCAATTGATTTCTAACACATAATTACCTGGTTCGTGTTCTTCGACAGGTTCAAATCGTAAACTAGGCGTACTATGTAAACTAATGCTATCTTGTTCTTTTGTTTCTTCAACTGTTTCTTGAGGCATTTCCTCCTCCGTTTCATTTAAACCTTTGACGATTGCTAACCATCTTGTTCGTCCTCGTCTAAAAACGCAAAATTTTCACTTGTTACTCAAAGAATGCAGGCTGTTGGTCCATACGAGTTAAAGATTCACGAGCTATATTGCAATATGCGACTTTTTCATATGAGCTTTTGGTTCAAATGAGCTTTTTAATATACGAGCTTTAGCTAACCATGAAATATTTTCCAATCTTATAATCATGGAGACAATTGAAGCAAAATTTTCCTTTAAAAGAATTTACAAAATTTTTTGTTTACCTTCCGGATATCATCCTCCAGGTCGACAGGTGACATTATCTACAATATACGTCAAATTCAAAGGTAATAAATACATAAAACAAACAGAATAGTTATGAAAGTTTGTCTATAATTTTAGAGTGTCGGGCTTTAAAATATAAAATACTAAAAGGCGGATTATATGATCCCAGTAGCCGGATTCAGCCAAGCGTTAAATCAATTTGGCAAATGGAAACTATTCAATACTTATTATAGATAAATTTTCTCAAGCAATTTCACAATATTATGATTTAATAACTACGCAAAACATTTAAAATTAAAACAACCAATTTGCCATAATTTGACAATTACAACCGAAATGACGTGTGGAGCTTCGCAAACAGTTGTAATTTTTAACAGAAGTTTTGGCTCTTCATTCTCTTGAAATCATCTGGTTACCTCGCTATCGGGCCAGCTCGCCTCCATATAATCAGGCCCTAAGTGTAACTTACTCTTGAGTGATGATGACACAGTAGTGACATCAGGTGTGGGTAGACTCATACTTCTTGGTCAGCGGGTCTCCATTTGAATAGTTCGTGAGGTACGGTTGATTCAAATATCGTCTTAACATTGACATGTCTTTTCCCAGACGTCTTCGGAGAACGTGCTGCCATTGGATATGATGAGATTTTCCAAGCAACTGGTACCAGACCTCGCTAACTGCTCGTTATCTAAAGACATGTATTGAATGAACGAGCAAAGCAGGACATGGTGTTACAAAGCATTTACAGTCCAACCTGTAAGAAACTCTGATACTTCTTGTATACTAATGTACCTCAAAACAAACCAATAACAAACTCTCATACTTCTAACCAATCACTAACTCTGATATTTCAAACCAATCACAAACTCTGGCACAACGACCAATCTCCAAGGCATATGCCAAGCACAAACACGTTGCGTAATCTCAAGCTTACCTTGTTTGATACACCATTCTAGATGGCCATACATACCCTCTAGAAGAATTTCAGCAAGAATATCAAAATACTGAGTAAAACATCGATGATAGCATATAGAGCGTGATTACAAGTTGTTGTCATCCATTCTGATTTCTATGAAAAACATCGCAAATTTCAAAACATTCTAAGCTGATGTCTCATTTTATAACGAGGAAATACAACACCTTATAGGACTTTATTCTATGTAAAGGAAACGACCTTCTCGCAGTTTAACACTACTCATTTACAAATGATTTACAACATGCAATCGGTGTGTGAATAGGGAATACAGGAGGATAAGAATGGATAGAGAATAAAGTGAATACAGTAGATATATATAGAATAAAGTGACTCTAGAATGAAAGTGGATAGAAGTGAATAAGAAATAGAGATATAAGGGGATCATTGAACTAAAATACATAGAAGGCTACATGAAGCAAATAGTGAAGCTAAATTTCACACCCAGACACGCGTGTTCAGTGTTTCGAGATTCTCACGGAGTGAAATTGATTGAACTACACACGGGTGTCAAAATACTAGGGTTTTCTATACAGGTAGCCTTCCGTATTTTAGTTCAATGATTACACATTTGAAATGGATAGTGAATGAGGAATGAAGGTGGATAGACGTGAACACATGAAATGAATATTATTCCATGTGGAACTGGATAGTCGATATTATTAAGTTGACTTTTTGCGATATAATGCGTGTTTCTGGCAATCATAGACAATAAGACCTTAATAACGACATATTATAAACTACGCGTTTCGAACCGTGGTCGATTTTGGGAGAATAATGGACCGGCAAAAATGTTTCTGAGCCAATCAAGCGCGCCATTGCCGGAAGTGACGCTTGCCATATAATAAGAGCAAAATAATGACAGTTTTTAACCTCCTGCTAATCTATCTGTCTGTCTGGTAGTTTCATGTTGTCGAAAATTCGAAACACCTTTAAACACATCACGCCACCAATGTTGGAGAAACGTGTTCCCGTATGTTTTCATGATTTCAAACATCACGGTTTGGCCTCTAGTTGATGGATGGAAAATAGCTCACATTCAAATTATACAATACATACTATTCTATACAGTACATACAACTCTATATTTCCACCATACGTTGTTCTGACATCTAGTTTACATCGGTTGATGATACGAAAGCTCAAAAAGGACTGGAAACCAGCCTTTCACCCAGATTCTCTCTTGCTCTGATATCCCAGCATCCTCTACTTCGTAGTCTTAAACATCTGTTTATAAAAGAAAAGAAAACAGACGCCATTGGAAAATGTTACACGAAAAAGCGATTGAAAACGATGATTTGGGTTGAATTTCATCAAAGTGGTAAGCTTTGTTGTGATTTTACAAAATTTTAAATCATTTCAAAGGTGAAAAGTAGATTTGCAATCGTCGTACCACAGGATTTTCGAAACAAATTTGGCAATTTCGTATCAGTCTTATTGCTTCCATACTCGTGTCCGGGAAACTTGCGTTGCATGAATTCCGAGAGACAATTTACGGCATCTTGGAAAGAGTCGATGGTCGCGGAGAAATATTTCTCTCAAATCGTGGCTGAAAGAAATGGGGGATGTGAAATTATACACTGATAATCTTGTGGGATAAATGAATCTGTCAAAGCTTTGATTTACAAGTGCCGTGAAACAGTAGAGAAACAGGGCTAGAAAAGTTTAAAAACTCTGCCTTTGACTCGTAATTTGCATCAACGAAACATGTTTCACATTTATTTCATTTCTCCATTAACTCTCGTTTAATTTTCATTCATGCATCATGAGAAAATCCATCGACTTTATGGTAAATAAAAGTTTACCTCGAAAACTTATACGAATATGACTGAATAACCATGGAAAAGAACGAACACATAAAATTCTTGTTGCAAAATAAACGAAGTTCTCTGTCACATCCGAGAAACACATTTACTAAAACGATATTAAAATTCAATTTGAATTTAATTTAATATTTACACAGATGTCTAATGTATTTTAAGCGGAAACGGATTCACCATCATTTCTTCAAACATATGCAACCATTTTATTTTAAAATTTTAAAATTTGCACCGATACAAGAACCTTACCCAAGAGCACAACAGACAGGTCGGCGGTAAGATGAGAAAAGACCTCCTAAACTACAAACCTCTTGTTAGAAAAGCGATTCTACGATTCCTTCATCATGATCGGACGCAGCCAAATGAAAAACGGAGAAAACATTTTTCCAACCAGATTTGATGTTTGCGGCTTGCAAATGCCCGATTTGTGTGACACATCGTACGACCATATCTCGAATTGTGGAAGAACTAAAATGTGAAAAATCCAGTTGTTGATTCAAGCAAATCGTAGACTGAAAATTGCAGTTCCTTGTTGCAAAGTTAACAAATTTCTTGCCAAGTTCATAAAGATATCGAAGAAAGAATTTTAATCAAATCCTTCCAATTATAACAGACAAAACAGAGCGATTGATGAAAGACTTCCTTTGTAAAATTCTTCGTAAAATTTCAACTTTGAAAAGAATCTGCAGTCTGCCACAAATTTTGTTTATTTGAGAGAAAGATTTTCAAGCTGCAAAACTTTATATTTTTGACGAGAATTGACTCTGCATAAACTTACATGCTTTTCTTCACTATGTATTCAAAGGGTCGGAGAAAATCCTTTTGAAATCGAAAATTTGGCAATTCCCCCAATTGTCGCAAAGAGTCGACACAGAAGAGCGCAACTTCTTCATTCAAAATAACTATAGTGAAAGCCAGTCATTTATCACGCAGCACGTGGTCTCATATATTTGCAGAGTAAAAGATTGAAAGATTTAATCACAAATCTAGGTTTAAAGATGACTTCTAATTATCTGGAAATTGCAAAATAGACCACGTAATCCTTCATAATAACCACATACACATGCAAACAAAATTTAAAACTTGTCTACTCTACTTACGAACTACGAACTATAAAACCTGGATCATGTTCATCCATTTACCTCTTTTGCATTTGCCTCTTTTCCATATTTGTAGAATGTAGTCAGTTTTCATAGTCAGTAAAATGTTCATACATACGTATGACGTTGTACATGTTCTTTTAATAACTTTATATCATTCCATTTATGGTGTAACCTCCATATTAACCAATACAATTACAGATATCATGGACCGTCCTTTGAACATATTTGCCACTCTAAATTTAATCCCATTGGTGGCGATTGGTAAAATCGTTCACATTACAAAGGTTCTAACAAAGGCCTGTTGATTTCTTCCATATATTTCTTACTTCACAGTAAATACACAGTATCTTCGTAAAAGCTTTATTTGCTAATGCGCATTTAGTATATACGACGACTTTTTTTAGAATAGACATGTTTCGACATCTCATGATGCCATCTTCAGTATGAGTGAGATAATGAATGATACATGGTTTATATACAAGTTATATGAGTGACATTCTTTCATTTCTATGTAGTGAACGTTTAATATATAATAAAATAACAAGAAATTATCTAACCATACATTAGTATTAAAGTAAACCATCAACATTAAGTTCGTTCAGAGATCAAAAGTTTCTCACTTTTGGTAATTTTCACATGTAAAACAAGCGACCATCTTTACGACAATCATCATCTTCGCGTGATATTCTCAATTCCATCACAACTTTGACAATGTTACAGTGTTGAAATCTCCAAATATAAATTTGAAAGTTGACGGGAATCATAGGATGAAAAAGATCTTTACTTGACATTACAAAAACTAATCTTTCTCTCTCTGTCCGTATTTTTACATAATTAAAAACTGACAGTTTTTCCACGGTTAAAACAAAGAATATGGACAATTTTTTCTGCAACAGTTTTGAGTTCGTTGTTGATACAATAAATAACTGTCCTTTTGTGATATAAAGAACTTTTTATGTTCGTTTTAAGTGATATGTAATGTTAGTAAATACAATAGGCTAATAACTAAAAAAGGTTGAGTTAGTGGTTTATTCAGGAACATTAAGTTTTAAAATTTTAATTCCGCATCCACCATTTGTTACTAAAGCTAAAGTTCCTGTGTTGTAATGTATAGTTATATTAAATACAGAATCTAATGAGTAAAATTTAGCACATCTTTTACCACTGTTTAAATCTACAGCAAACAATTGCCAAGATTCGCCAATGAAATATGATTTATGTACGATGTGCTTGAACATAAAAATCCATCGATCCTGCATTCGTACTCACATCGTTGTTTTATGCACATTAATTACATAAACCAGTTTTCCGTTTGAAATTGTCGTTTTGAAAAGAGAATGCAATGACCGCTTGGTTACTATCACTTATAGAGCAACTGACTTCAAAATAAGTTAAAATTATCTGTTCTCGATCAAATTTTTCAATAAAAGACGTTATGGGTATTTCTGCAGTATGCCAAGGTTCCAAGTAAAGTTCATTGTTAATTTTCCATTTCCATAATGTGTATTTCTGTTTTGTTGCAGTTAAAATAACAGAATTATCAGGTGATACAGCTGCTTTTAACTTTTGAACTACGGACAAAGAAGTCTTTCGTTGTGTATTATCTCACCCTTGGTAATTCTAACAACTTGAACAAAATCTTGTTCGTCAATACAAACTAAGACATCACCAAATGTTAAGATTTCTTTAGGTTTAAATCAATGTTAACATGCTTTGTGAGTAGAGATCTAAAAATTTTCAGACGAAGTTGATATCTTCATAAGATGATCAGAACCATCCCATATCCACAGTAAACCATCCGACCACCAACATCCTAATGCATTCTTCAGTTTCATTGGTACAGTTTGAATAATAGTACAACGTTCAATGCTCCAAATATGAATGTTGACGTGGTCACCAACAGCGAAAGCAGCAAAAAAAGATCCATCCAGTGAAAAACAACAACATTTAATTTTCAATTCCTCAAAATAAATGAAGATTTCAAAAGATGATCAGTTTGAAAATATTCAGCTTGGAAAAATACGGCACAACGTAAAAGTCCTTAAACGAGAGGGGATGGACTCCGTTACGATTCCTATAAATACATGGACACCTAACATTTGGTAAACAAAACTCGATTTTTCCTTGATCGTTGTATTTTGTCAACTGAGTGATTTCAGAAAGCTTTCCATTCTGGCTTGTATGATAAAAAATACAATCACGATAAAGGTGTGTTATCATTAAATGTAAAGGTTGGGAAAAAATATCGATTGCCTTTGGAAATTGAAAAACATACGAAATCTCGCCGAATTCTGCAACATAGAACTCTGAATATTTATAGGTGCATTGTAGTTTTTGGTAATCAACAACGCAGCGTCGATCGATTCTTTGCAAAGTAAATGAATTCCATGCAGTGAACACATCTTTAGAAGAAATTCCATCATATCTTGCTGTAATAAACAAACCAGAATCTGAGAAAGAGCATCGATTAACGACATCATCTGACTGTAAACATAATAACAAACGTCCATTGTTAACGTCCCACAACTTTACTTCAGTAGATCCATCACTAGTTACCAGTCTATTTCCGGTAGGTGAAACGAGCAACAACAGATGTTTCCACCGACAACTAATTCGCATTGGATCAATATTTGTCATATAGGGACATAAATTTGTCTACATCATCTACATCATCCCATTTATCCAACCTTGAATCATCCAGTGCAGTGCCGAGGTGCATCGTAGTTCGAATTTTGGAAGTTCATAAAAGACATTTCACCATTTTCAAATCCTACAGAAGTTCTTCATTGGACGACACACAAAGAGATGTAACGTTAGCACGCAAGAGACAGTCAAATGATGATGGTTTTGTTAAATATGTTGAGTCTAAATCCTCAAACCAAAAACTTTCCTTGTTTCAATAAATCCCATGCCAATAATCTTTTTCGTTACTGCCATCAATTCTGTTTGCAATAATTTGTAAATAACATTAGCTATCATGAAACCAATATGAGTTATATCTCCTATT